TAATTTTATCTGTGCTTCCTCTGCAAATTCCTAACGGATCCCAGCGGCTGGGCTGGGCTGGGCTGGGCTGGGGATGCTGCTTTTCCCAGCAGGAAGATTTCAGGGGAACTGGGATGGGCATCATAGGGGCTCCCCCAGACAGGCGGGTGCAGCCGGGGCATCTCGGAGCGGGGAGGAAGGGTGGCGGAAAACCTCGGGGAGGAGAGGGGAAGGGAGCGGAGGAAGAGGAGGGTGGGGAGGAAGGACAGAGGGGCTCTGCTCTCCGTGCAGCTGTGGGAGAGGCGCTGGTCCGGCCCCGTGAGCCGAAAAGCGGAGCAGAGCCCCTCGGAGCATCGCTCCCCCCAGCCTGGGCTGACTCCTTCCCCGGCTCTGTCCCAGTTGCTGGAAGTGGAACGAGACGCAGTCCTCTCCCTGCTGGGGCCCCGTGTCTGCCCAGAGCTAATAAAGCGAATCACTGCTGCTTAATGAAGAAACACCTGCTTAATTGAACACAGTGGGACGGTGCTCAGCGTGGCCGGGCGATGGGAGGGGGCCAGCGGCGCTCTCCCCAGGGCTCCCTGCAGGTCCTAGCAGAGAGGACGGGGTCTCCATCTGCAGTAGGGCCGGGTTTCACCTTTCTTTTTGAATTATGGAGAGTCAGACTCTCAGAGGCCCCTTGGAGCAAGCATTGGGCTGCCCTGACCCTCCCCTCCTCCATTCCTGCGTGGTGGCTTGGAGCAGGGGATGGGGCTGAAGCGGTTAAAGGGGCAAATGGGTGGATTGGGAGCTCCGGCAGCTCCCTGATGCTGTTTAGATGATGTTTAGATTAGCTGGGTTTCCAGGCATTGAGCTGTCAGAGCAAGAGGGCTGGGAGGGACGCTGGGGCTTGCCCTTAATTGGAGATGCAGCTCTCCAGCCACCCCATCGCTCTGACGGCCCTGGCGTGCGGCCCCGCAGCAGCTCCCTGCCCCGGAGCTTCGGGTTTGTCCCTGTACCCCACTCATCATTAGTGCGATGGGAATTCGCTGCAATGCAAGTCACTGCACTGGCTGCCAGATTGGGGTGGGCTGTGGTGGTTAATGGGGTGCATCTGGGGCACAGCTCGGCGATTTGGGGTGGCACAGTGATGCAAGGCTGGCGGTGACCCCCTTGGCCAGCATCCTCTTGCTGGGTGGTTCTTTAGGTTTAGGGAGAGGACAGGGTCCTGTCCCCGTGGCAGGGGCTGGAGGTGACCCGCTGGGTGTCTTGGGAGCCCCATGCAAGGCAGGGGAGGGTCCTCCGTGGCCACACTGCAGGCAGGCGCTGCCTCCCATCTGCCCGCAGCCACATTCCTCGGCTGCGTTGGCAAGGCTTGAATAACCCTTTTAATTTAAGGAGTTAAATTTTAATGGCCTAAATACCGCACTTCATTATCGCCGCCATGTGCCTGCGCCGATGGCTGCCTGACATCTCGGCGCTGCGGTGATGCTCTGCGGCTGCTGCCTCCCTGGGGATGCTTCTTCCCCTCCTCCCCCACGCCAGGAGGCCCTTGGGGAGCCGCCTGTTCCCTATGGGCAAGGGGACAAGCAAGGGGACACACGTGTCACCCATGGGGATGCAGGGAGGGCCCTGGGGAGAGGCGTCTCACTGGGATGATGCTTTGAGGGGGATGAGATCCTGCGGTGATGCTCTGCGGCTGCTGCCTCCCTGGGGATGCTTCTTCCCCTCCTCCCCCACGCCAGGAGGCCCTTGGGGAGCCGCCTGTTCCCTATGGGCAAGGGGACAAGCAAGGGGACACACGTGTCACCCGTGGGGATGCAGGGAGAGCCCTGGGGAGAGGCGTCTCACTGGGATGATGCTTTGAGGGGGATGAGATCCCTCGCCACATCAAAGCACGGGCAGGTGGATGGATGGGTGAGCCATGGCCAGCCCCATTAGTAACTGGGGGTTTACATCCTACAGCTGGCTCCATATATATGTACTTATGGGGTGTATATATCTGGGGTGTACATGTCTGGGAGATATATATATATTATTTATGGGGTGTATATGTATTTATGGGGTGTATATATCTGATATATATGTATTTACGGGTGTATATGGATATATACTTATGGGATGTATATGTCTGGGGTGTACATATCTGGAGTATGGCTCCCCCTCTGCCCCATCCCCTTCCACAGCCACCCCTCCGGCATCTCTCCAAACTGGTCAACC